TTTGATGGACCCTTTTCAAAATTCGCCATAACTTTCTTATTTATGAAAATTTTGGATTAGGATAAAAACATTATTAGGGCATTTTTTCGGTAAAAAAAAGTCTGGCAACAGCCAAGGCAAATACTTCCGAAATTATTCGGACCTGATTATTATTCATCCTGCAAAGGAAGAAAATGTAAAAAAGTTTATTTGTTTTTTGTTTACCTTCTCACCTGATCATGTAGTTCGGGACCGCGTTATGGGTAAATAAAGATAAAGTATTCTATATGAGAGTGATGAAAGGATTTAGTTAAATTTAAAAAAAATTAGGTGCGCATTTGAAAAAATTAAGCCAAAAGCAGAAACGTCAGATTCAATATTTAATTACACTGAGTTAAAGGGCAGAAAATGTGGATAAGAAAATATGTTTTTCGTTCTAATTTATCTTCGGAAAAAAAAGCCGGAACTGCCTGACCTTTTCTTTTTTTTTTACCAGTACATTTATATGGTGAGAAATTGCCTTAGAAAGTGCCCTAATAACGAATCCAAAATTGTCGTTTTTCCCAGAACAAGCGAAGGCAAAATCTTCCGCTCTCTGTCGCGGAATCGCGAACAACCGTGACCTCCGTTCAACGAGGAAATGCGTTACGCAGTGCGTGCTTGCGATGTGCGCGCGCACCTCTCTCCCCTCTCACGCCGCCTCTGAGCTTTCGCGACCCTCCGCGGGCGTCCCGAGGCGTCATATTGAGCGCGCGTAAATGCGACGCTCCTCTTGAATTCTTTAAGGGACGACGCGGTCATTTGCGTGTGTACAGGGTGGTCCATTATAAATATTACCGACCCCCCCCCCCTTTTTAACTATTTTATCTTAAATTTTAGTTCTTATTTATTTTGTTAAACGGATTTTCGTCAAGTGAAAGCCAGCTCAGTTCATTAAAAGAATTAATAAATTAAAATCTCGGTTATTTTTATTAATACAACAACAAAAGCCGAATTAAAAAAATCTAAATTAAATAACAAAGTCTCCAACAATAGTTAAGTACTTATATTTTTGGAAGATCTCTCTCCCTCTTGGCCGATAAACTCCGTTTAGTCGATTTTCTTATATATCCACCGACCTTGATCCCTGCTGCTTTCGATTCCTTTTACGTCTTCCATCTCCAGATATGTGTTGAAATGTGTAGTTCTTTGTTGCCAAGAAAGCCTTCTATAACATCAAAATAAATAAGAACTAAAAATTTAGATTTTCAAGAAATTATATATAAGGTTGTTCGGAAAGTCATTTCGTTTTTTCCCGTCAGAGGGCTTAATTACGTTTTTTCGAAACCAACTTCACACTTAAGCCGCATAACCATTATATGTCTTGAGAGCTGATATTGCAAGGCTTGTGTGTGAAAAAGTTCTATTAATTCTACGCAGTAGTTTTTGGTTGGTGCCCTTTTAAATATGGAGAGCAATAAGCAGCATTTTCGTCATATTTTACTTTTTTACTTCAGAAAAGGTAAAAATGCTGTCCAAGCGAGAAAAAAAGTGACGGATGTGTATGGAGAAGGCGTGTTAACAGTACGCCAGTGCCAGAACTGGTTTGCAAAATTTCGATCCTTCAATTTTGATGTCGAAGATGCACCACGGTCTGGAAGGCCGGTCGAAGCTGACAAAGATGCGATAAAGGCATTAGTTGATGCAAATCGGCGAATAACCACACGAGAGATCGGTGAGAGATTAAATTTGTCGAATTCGACTGTTTATGGCCATTTGAAAGGCATGGGCTTAACCTCGAAGCTCGATGTGTGGGTGCCCCATGTCCTTACGGAGCGAAATTTGTGTCGTCGCGTTGACGTGTGTGATTCGCTCCTCAAACGTCAAGAAAATGATCCATTATTGAAGCGGACGAAAAATGGGTTGTACACAACAATGTTAAACGCAAGAGGTCATGGAGCAGAAAAGATGAACCAGCTCAAAGCGTGTCAAAAGCCAACATTCACCAAAAAAAGGTGATGCTCTCCGTTTGGTGGGATGTCAAAGGAATCGTTTTTTTTTGAGCTTTTGCCGGAGAATACAACGATTAATTCAGAAGTCTATTGTCATCAACTGGACAAATTGAATGATTCACTTAAAGAGAAGAGGCCCGAATTAATCAACAGGAAGGGTGTAGTGTTCCACCAGGATAATGCGAGACCTCACACAAGTTTGGTCACTCGCCAAAAACTTTTACAGCTTGAATGGGACGTACCGCAACATCCACCATATTCTCCAGATCTGGCGCCTTCCGACTACTATTTGTTCCGGTCCCTGCAAAATTTTTTGGACGGCAAAACCTTTACCTCAAATGAAGATTTCAAAAACCACCTGAACCAGTTTATTGCCAGGAAGGACCAAAACTTTTATGAGAGGGGAATTATGTTACTGCCAGAAAGATGGCAAAAGGTGTTGGACCATAATGGCCAATATGTAATTTAATAAAATATTTATTCATTATACGAAAACTGTCTTTCATGTTCCCCAAAAAAACTAACCAAAAAAAACGAAATGACTTTCCGAACAACCTAATATATTCACATGACAATTGTTTCGACAACACCGTGTCTTTATCAAATGTGACATTTGATAAAGATACCTCAGTTCAATTCTATAACATCATTGTAGTCCCGATCTTTCGTTATTCGCCATATTTGAGCACCTACCTCCTTCGTTTAATTATGCATCTGAGAGTGCGGGACATTTTCCACATAGGTATTTGAAACATGCTGTATCGGGCATAATTTTTTCGTGGATAAACAGGACCGTCGTGAAGATTACGTCTCTCACTAAGTGATTAAGTTCTGATTGTGAAAATAACTATTTTAGGTACAGTAAAACTGGTGGTATCTTCTTCTAAAAGTTTACTAACTTTTGACCAAAACTAACTATTCAAACACTTTTTTTTCGATTTTGATAAAATTTAACGTCTTCATTTACTTAAAAAAAGGTTTTTTTTTAGTGTAATTAGAACAAAAGCATTAATTCCAGAGGCGTCATCATTGTGCGCCAGTACTATTTTGTATGTCTAATATTTTTAAAAATTATCTCTGCATGTTCCTAAACATTAAAAATATTTTTAATCTTTGTTAAAGTGTGCAAATAAAAAGTGTCTATTAAATATTGTATTTATTTTATAGTATTACGTTTTAGTAAAGATTAAATATTTTTTTGCTCTTAATTTTTGGTTAAGGTTTTAAGTGGAATGGAAACATGTACTGAAATAATTCTTAATAAATCTAAAAATTAGAAAAGGCAATTAAAGTGTATTTTAAATAGCTTCATCTGAAAAAGAAGGTATATTAAGCATAAAAGCAAACCTATAAATTTTCATTAAAACACCCTTTGCTACGCTACTGGGATTAACACTTTTTGAGTAGATCATAAAATGAACTAATTAGCGTTTTGCAGAGCAGACCCGTCTGTGGTTTCCACGCTTGCTGTTTTGTTCGAAGGCAGTTCTAGGTATTTGAAACTATTGGATTAAGTGACTGAGCTTTAGTCGACTTCAGTATTAATTTGGGATATTAACTTTTCAGTCACGTTCTTCCATATTACCAGAAACCACAAAAAATCAACAAACATCTGCCAATTGCATGGCAGTCGTCTGAAATTTTGGGTGAATCTAGAAAATCAACCACATTTGATACAACGAAGGATATAAAAAATATGTCATATTAAGTTGCACATAAAAATTTCCAAAATAAAACGTTAAATAATAGTAAGGAGACAGTGAGTTTAAAGCGAAGGATTATTGTTTTAATTTAATTTAAAATCATATTAATACTATAATATTGTAATTTTATTACGTAAATTATTAAACACTTTTGTTGCGCAATAAGAATAGAATCACTTGGAAAATTTCCGTTGAACGAGATGTAGGAGTAATGATAATTTTAAGCCTAATATTCATATTCTACTACGCAGTATTCTTAAATTTAAATAGATGGCAAATATTTTGCAAACCTTAAGTGTGACTGACATCGCGAATGACATAGACCAAGCATAGACAAGAGTTTTGTATCATTTATATTGTGTACTTACCATGTGCTGCTAAACTTCTCAGTTGATCTTTAAAGTGTATTGATTTATATCTGATTTGCGAAGCCCGCGTTGCGACATTCACATTGCGATATCCACGTTGCGACACCCGCACATTAACTAGGTGGATTCTTAAATACCTTTGTTACGCAATAAGAATAAGTTGCGTTAGTCCGAAAGCTGATTATATAGATTCTGTGGCGTCTGCAGTGGAATTAAATTTAAAAAATGGGTGTGAAATATTTTGCACACCTTTAGTGTAACTAACATGTTAAAATTCGCGAATGACAGATCAATTTTATAGCTTTTTTATCACGTGCTGCTAAACTTTGATTTATATCTGATTCCCGAATCCCGTGTTGCGACGCCTGCGCTGCAACATTCGCTTTGCCAATGAAAAATTGAGCTACACTGTGACTAACGTATTAAAATTGAGAATAACAAGAGTTTTGTAGCTCTATAGAACACAGAACATATGTATACGTTGAAAGGTTAATGTGGTTAATGTGGTGCAAATCGTATTTTTTTATTTGGGAATTGTAAAGTTTATGAGACAAATTTTTTTCCATAAACAACTCTATCAAAATGTATCTTTCATTGCCTAAGTTTATCTTCTTCTTTGGTCTAATTAAGTTCCCTCCATTGATTAAAATATCATAATAATCATGTCAAAATCAGGCGTAGACAAGAATTTTGTATTGTGCACTTATCATGTGCCGCTAAGCAGGGACCGAATAATTATTTATTGTTTTTTTGGACAGATAATAACATCATAATTGGAAAGTATTGCAGTTATTAACATGTGGAGTAAATCTTTATTCTAAATCAATCTACAACACTAAATTCTTTATTTGATCTTTGAACGGTTTACAACCACGTTGCGACATCCCCGTTGCGACGCCCGGGCGCGTCGCAATCCGCTTCGCAACACCCACCTAACTGCCCGTTCTCTTCTGTTCCAGATATTATTTTTCTACCCGTTTAAGATGTTCGAACGATAGCGCTATTTTTATACACACGACCCGAATCACAGAGTACAAATACAAAAGAGTACAAAACCACGTCTCAGGCGAACAATCAGGACTATATATAAAGGAAGCGGAGATCACACGAAGATGACAATAAGCAGTTAACGCGCGATGCGACGCGATGAGTGAGACGCTCAGCCAGGATCCGGACGGATTGGGAGCGGCTTACACGACGCTGGCGCCGTCGTATCCGCCGACGCCCGCGACGCCCAGCTCCACCGTCCAGGATGTGGCGGCGGGCGCGAACCTGCCTCCCTTTTCGACGTTTTCATCGGACATGGACTCGAGCGGTACCTTCGGTTCGGTATCCGATCGTTTGTTCAGTGATACGCGTCTATTGGACATATCGAACTGGGACTATTACACCGAGACTAGAGTGCTGGAACGCGGCGAGAACGGCCTGTCGATCATCACGTCGCAGCCGCAGTACCGGCCGTGGGAATCGAAACCTCCCGATTCCGGTGGTCAGCCCACGTTCGCGGAGGCTTTCGCTCAGCAAAACGGCGCTTCCAAGTTGCCGTCGTTCCAAAGTCAGTTCCAGACGTTCAACGATCCCGCGACATCGGGCGAGACGACGCTCACGACGCTAACCAACCTGACACCCGTGTCTCCCAACTCGTCTTCCAGTCCGCAAGGTCTGACCACGAGCTTCCACACGCTGAGCGCGAGGAGTTACCCGCTGGTGCCCGCTCCCATACAAGCACGAGAGATCCCCTCGATCCAGCAGCAGTTTCTCGACGAGCGTCACATTCAACTGTACTCGCATCCGACGCTGAACAACGCGATCCATTCGGCGGGAATATTCAACTCTCAGAACGGCGGGACGATCATCCAGAATAGTCAAATCATAGCGTCGCCGACGGTGGTGACGGTGTTGAAGCCGGATCCCGAGCTGAAGCTCGCGCCGTTGCCTCACCAAGACGCCAAGCTCCAGCTCCATCCGGGTCAGTTCCAGAACCCGATGTCCGCGTTGCAAGGCAACAGCGACGCGGGTCTTTACAACGGCATCGAGAAAAAGCTGAACGGGATGGGGGGGACGATGGGCTCGCCTACCCGCAACGACTTTCGGAAGAAGGAGAGGCGAAAAATAAGAGCGTCGAGTTTGGAGAGTTCCGCGGAAAGCGACGGGGCATCGAGCAACATGGACTTGGGGTCGGAAAACTCGGGTCAGGTGGCCGCGGTGTCGAGCACCGACGGCTTCAAGGCGCAACACATGGGAGTCGGTATGGAGCACGAGCTCGGCGGCGGAGGCATCGACAAGCAGGTGAAGAAGAAGAGGAAACGGTGCGGCGAGTGCATAGGGTGCCAGAGGAAGGACAACTGCGGCGACTGCGCGCCCTGCAGGAACGACAAGAGCCACCAGATTTGCAAGCAGAGGCGCTGCGAGAAGCTGACCGAGAAGAAGGTGAGTGGCGCGGGGGGATTCGGGGGGTTGTTGTGATGGCGATGGAGATCGTACGATAAAAAACGCGTCGCCGGGAATAATAATATGAAATCGAAGTTTCTCTTTTTGCTGGACCGCAGTCGGAACCTACATTTTGTGTTTTATGATATCGTTTATTATTGAGTTTAATTACTTTAACCTACTCCATATATGTATCTAAAAAAAATAACTATATAAATAATAATTTTATTATAAAGGATAATAAACAACATGGAAAATCCGTATATAAGAAATGGATACGATGGATGCTTTCCATGATCCAAATTTCGTTGTCTTATTGTTAATGTCATATTTATTATAATTGTTACTTACAGAACCGTTAATAACTATAAATATCTAAAGAAATAACTATAAAAACTCACAGCTACAGCCTTAACACATACGAACAATAATTTTATGATAGAGTAGACGTAACGACAATACAAGGAAAAACGGATAAATTTGCAAATAACACTTGCCTCTCATATGAATCTGATATTTTAGTCCAATTTATAATATCCGTTTTGGATGCTTTCTTTTCGGTTTTTCTGAAATGTGTTTAATTAATGCGATATTTAGTGCAATTGTTACCTACAGAACCATTAATAACTATAAATATCTGAAAAATGAACTATATAAACAGATAGCCGCAGCTTTAACACATAGAAACATTAATTTTATTATAAAGGGGACGTAATAAATAATAATAATAATGATGATAATAATAATAAATCAAAAATAATATTTTTTAACAAATATAGAAATACCGTATATACGAACTGACATTTTTTTTGCGTAATTTATATTACCGGTGTCGAATGCTCTGTACGATTTAAAGTTTGTTTTCTTAATTTTACTGTAATGTGTTTAATTAATGTTATATTTTCTGATGAAAACGTATTTGTTATTATTGAGTTCAAGTATAGTATAATTATTACCTACCGAACCTTGAAAAGCTTAATTTTAGCTTAATCTATTTTGATATAAACTAACAAGTCACCGCTTTAACAAATACAAACAATTTTATTATAAAGGAGGAGTAATAACAAATAATAATAATAATAAGCAAATATAGAATGACAGTATATACAAGGCAAAATGGATAAAAAGTCGGCACTCATACGGACCTGATATTTTTCATGGGTAATTTATAAGATCTGTCTCGAGTGCTTTCTAGGATTTAAATTTTATTGTCTTTTAGATTTTTCTGTAATGTAACTTTATTAGTTTTCAGTGAAGAAAAAATGTTTACTTTAGTCTAATTTTTCTTTAAAACGAATAATAAATGGGATATATTACTTTGACACGCTCTTCGGGCCCCCCGTGTGTTCGGTTAAGGGCAAATTGGTATCAAGTGTGACGCCAAGGTAACGTGCCGTCTTTCAAAATGTGAAATTTTGGCTATCAATATTGATTTTAAAATCTCTTACTTGTCTGCTTACCAAATAGCAGTACTTTAACGGTTGGTTATTGCAAAATCTTTTATTTTAGAAAAGGAATCATATTGTAACTTTCGATCAGAAAATGTTTTTCGGAATACTAATCCAATTTGTTCTGGAATTATGAATTCTGTTATGAGACTTCGACGATAGATCGGAATGGTAACCTCGCGTCTGAAAAAAAAAAACGTTTTTTTGTTGTTGTTGCGTTTCACGCGGCGGTTTTATCATACAGGTTTAACGGTCCACCCTTTGATCGAAAAAAGAAAAATCGCATCAGGTTTTCCCACCAGCATCCCGTCGCCGGGATGAGATCCGACCGGGATCGAGGGTCGCTCTATTTTTCTAGATAATTCTCCCGCCAGTCCGACTAGTTGCGACTCGCATTCATAGTCAAATTCGCGTCTAGCCGAGTTCAATTAAAACAGGACTGCCGTACAAACACGATTTTATTGTCTCTTATTTATATACGTCGAGCGGTCAAACTGGAAAACGTCGACTTTGTAATAAGTTATGGAAAAAAAAATGCGTTTTCACATAAACTGAATAAAATTAAAGATATGCATACTGAACTAAATTAAGTGCTCATCAATGCTAACTTATTATGACAGATATAAAGTGGCATTTTCTCCACCGGTTACGATGACGAAAACAAAAAAAACAATCTTCATGTTTGCGAAATCAGTGGCGTGCCGCTATGAACAAATAATATATCGGTTTAATTAGGCCGCCCCCGGTGCACTGGTTAAATCGATAACTTCTTTTTGTGAAATGAAAACAAAAAATATCTAGTTTTTAGTTGCCAACTTCAGAAAAAAAAAAAAGTTGAGCATAGAAACTAGACAAGTTGTTGAAAATGTTTTCCACCTTTGAGGATAGACGCTTCAGCTCTTTTTCTCATATTTCCCGGCACTCTTTGAAGTATATCTCCAGTGTTTCTTATTAAATCGCAGGAAACTCTTCCACTGGGGTGCCATAAACCTGACTTTTCAAGTGCCCCATATGAAAAAGTCCAAAGTATTTAAATCTGGGGACTTAGGGGCCATGGTTCCTATTTCCAAAGACCAATTTCTAAAGACCGGCTATAATTAAGGCCATTTAGCCTTTCCAGGCCAAACGTTTGCCGAAAACTGTTTTTGAAGTTGAAATTCTACAACTGAATGGGGGTTTTCATCGACCCAACTACGGTTATTGTGGAAATTTCTGGAAAAGTTAGCTTCATCTGTAAATCGTATGTATTTCTTGGTCAAGCAAGGCATAATGCGTGTCCAAAAACCATTGACAAAAATGAACAGGCAAGGGAAAATCTGTGGAAAGTAACGCTTGCACTCGTTGAAAATTGGTTGAAGTAAATTTAAAAACTGTTGTCAAACAACCGCCTTGATAACAGAATTAATGATTCTTACAGGCACGGCTTTATACAATGATAAGAAATAATATACCCCACAGTTTACGTACTTTGTATATTCGTACTCGATTTTTTGAAGTATTTTAATATTAAACGATATTGTCATGACCGTGCGGAGAAGAGGTTTTTATTTTTATAAGCGAAAACTGTACAGAAATTACATTTCTTTAGAAATGATTGGAGATTGTAAGCATAATTTTTGTTTTAAGAGAAATCAGTGGCGTACCATCAATGTCTGCTAAAAAGACAGGTGAAATTTATTACTCCCGCCACTGGAGTACTTTAAAAAAATGTGGTGCATTAAATAATGCTTCTGAATATATCTAAAGTGTTATTTCATAACTTAAGACGTTTAGGACATACGTTCATATGAAAAAATCGCAATTTTAATTATTGACATTCAATTAGAAAACACCCTGTATATCGAACCAAAGTGTCCTCTGATATTTGTAATGAAGAATCAAATAAATAAAAATCAACATAGCAGGACGAAACGTCTACATATACTAGTCGATGCACTTTAAAAATGTCCTTAAACGAGTCTCGCACGGGCGAACTTGTCGTACGGTAAGGCGCGTTTCGGTTCCCATATGGGACGCGGCCATTTTTCTTGTCGTTTCGGGGACGGGATCGTGTTTCCTCGTTCGCATACACCGGTACGGTTAATGGGACTGCGAAAGCTCGCCTTAAATCGGGGCCATGTGTGTGTGTGTGTGTGTGTGTGTGTGTGTGTGTGCGTGTGTGTCGAGAGCTTTGGGATGTGAGTTCTCAGGTTGCGGCGCGACGAATAAAGCATCGGCGGTGCCCAGTTATTGCGCCCATTCAAAATCTAGTGGATTATAATCTCCATATGATACGGAATGTTCTGGATTATTTGCCATAAACTCATTTTTTAGATTTTGATTGGAGTTTTTTTTTAATGTATGTGGACCTAGTTTAACTTTTTTAATGTATTTTGTATAAATAATTACATATGAAGTTAAATTATCAAATTTTATTATGGAGCTACTACAGGAAATAGCCTTTTAGATTTTTTTTTTTAGTAATAGGCTCTCTCGAAATTTTAAATTTTATTATAAAGTACCTTTCGGAAAACCATCTTAGAAATTTACTTTTTGAAAAACGACTTCAGGGAACGGTTTACATTTTTTTTTTTGGAAAAAAAATCTAAGCGATTTTATTTCTTTTTTATGAATTCTATGAATTCTTCTAGCGAGGAAAGACGGTTTTCGTGATTTTTATCGAAAAATGTTTCTTTTAAGAACTGCATTTCGGTTTTAAAAAAATCTGTGAGATATTAACTTTTTGTTTTTAATGAATTTTATGATTCCGTTTGTAGAGGAAATACATTTTTCGTGGCATTTATTAAGAAATGTTTTTTGTTAATTAATTACATTTCTTTAAATTGCATTTTGTTGTTTTCTTATGAAAGATTTCATCAAAAGCCGTTCTTTCATATCATATTTGGGAAAATGTTTTTTTTTCTAATAACCACCGTTCTCCAAAATTTATTTTTTAAAATTACCTCGAAACAAGATGTTTTTTTTTTGTACATTTAAACATAGATTATTTTTTGAAAAATTGCCGAAGAAAACTCTCTTTCAGTTATTTTTTTGATTTTTTATAAATTTCTTTCTTTCTTTTTATTATTTCATATATTTTATTATAATGTGCTTTTCGGAAAACTACCTCGGAAAACGGTTTCCTAAATTTTATTTTTTAAAATTACCTTAAAAAACAATGTTTTTTATTTTTTTTATATTATCATATTATAATAGTTTTTGAAAAATTTCCTTAAAACACCATATTTCAGAATTTCTCTTAGTTAAAAAGAAAACATTTTTCTTTTAAGCAATTTTATAATTTTTTTTGGAGGCGCTCTTTTATATTATATTTTCGAAAAATATTTTTTTTATAATTACCCCAAATGGATTTTCAAATTTTATTATAATTTAGTTTTCGGAAAACTACCTCATAAAGCGGCGTGTCAATTTTTTAAAATATATAGTTATTATATTATATTTGTTGGAAAACCCGTTGTAAGAACTCTTGATGATTTTTTAAAAACATTCTTTGTGTCTTTTGATATATATTTTTTATTTTAGATTTAATTTTTTGGCATTTTTGAATTTAAG